ATAGTATATCACACACTTGTTACAGTTCTTTAACCCCATTTCTCATGTGCATCTTAATAATAATAATAATAATAATAACAACCTGGTTTTTAGTCTACATTACTCCCAAGGGATAAACATGGAAATTTCTTTGATGCATTCTTCTGTTCATTCTCTCGCTTCTCCCATGTGCATGTGTATCAAAGAGCAACTAAAAGACATTCAGAACCCAAGCTTTTTTTTTTTTTCTTTTTTAAGATTTTATGTATTTATTTGACAGAGACAACAGGAAGAGAGGAAACACAAGCAGGGGGAGTGGAGTAAGGAGAAGCAGGCTTCCAGCTGAGCAGAGAGCCCAATGCGGGCTCAATCCCAGGACCCTGGGATCATGACCTGAGCTGAAGGCAGATGCTTAACGACTGAGCCACTCAGGCATCCCAGAACCCAGGCTTTTCTAGAAGCTCTTGCAATGCAGGTTTTCCCGTACATGGGAGACTTTCTCTTGTTTTTTGCAATGGCTTTAGTTAGATATAGACACCTTCTTTGCTGGCTAGGACATTCCTTTCTTACTGTCCCAACAGCTTGGAAAATCTCCACTCTCCTTAAAAAACATTAGTTAAGTAAAAGACCATGCTCCTGGGCCCTGGAACACCTCATTCCATGCTCAGTACCTGCTGTTGGGGTGACCTTTTCTAACAGAAACGATTTTGAATTTTCTTTTCATTTTCATTGCTCCCCTGTAGGCCTTACTGCATTTATTCTTATTTCTCTTTCTTTGGGGGCCAGATAATATTGCATTAAGTGGAGCAAGAGGATTGCTCAGCTCATTTTTCTATACCTTCCGGAAGCAACACTTCTTGCTGACCTACCACTTGAGAGACCAACAACACTTGTATATAAACAGCTACTCTTCATCTCATGCCTGGGTACTTAATTCTGCCTCATGTAGTATTTGACTCAGGACTTAACACCTGTAAAATTTAATTTAATGGGATTTTTTTCCGATATTTTTTTTTCTCGAATTGGTCATATTCATTTTGAATTCTGATGTTTTACTATATAAATTAGTCGCCCAGCCATGGGTCCAAAGTTGGATCTAGTGTCGGAACTCTACCATTAGTTAATTGATTAGACAGTGTGGGACCCATCACTGCCCTGTGTTTCAGAATGCTCTTCTAATAAATGTGGGGTACTTGTGCCTTCTCGGCTGGACTCTGACCTGGCAGTGATAGAGTTTATTTTATTTTATTTTTTTTAAAGATTTTATTTTTTTGAGAGAGAGAGAGAAAGAGAATGAGAGGGTGAAGGTCAGAGGGAGAAGCAGACCCCCCGCTGAGCAGGAAGCCCGATGTGGGACTCAATCCCGGGACTCCAGGATCATGACCTGAGCCAAAGGCAGTTGCTCAACCACCTGAGCCACCCGGGGCCCCCTGGCAGTGACAGAGTTTAAATAATATTTTCTCCATGTTTTGCTAACTTTGGGAACCGTCAACCCTACCAGTTGTTAAATTCTAGAATCTCATATGGAAGGCACAGCGGCCATGAATATGATTGACTGTCTAAATTCAATGCAGTAGTAGATTTTTGACCTACCAGAAAGAATCCTGCAGCCGGGTACCCTCCGGCCAGACACATATTTTCAACCACAGCCCGGGGCTGAAAACACTAATGAATTCCAGTCACAAGGCACCGCATACTCCAGTGGGGTTGTAATTGACAGAGAGGTAGAAAACTACAACGGGAAGGCTTTGGGGGACTGGCATCCAGCGCAGGCCCGGCAGTGAGGGCCTCAGGTGCCAGGCCAAGCAAAGAGGGTGCCCAGCAGCGTTGCTGCCGCACTGGAGCTGAAAGCAGATGTCCTCGGCGGGGCTGTCAGGGCTCTTGAACCCTCTGCCACCGTCAGCACAATTATGTATGGATGCGTATTTTTCAGCCTGCGAGATTCTCAGCTTTTATCCATTTTCCAAAGGGATCCATGAATCATAGAGGATTAGGAAGCCCTGTTTGCTGGATGGACAATAATCCAAACTTCCAAAACCAATAAAATAGGCTGTTGAGGATTGATAGAAGGAAGAGATTGTAAGGAAACAGTGAACATTTATTGAATGCTAAGTGTGCACCAGAGATTCTTGCGGACATTGTCTTACCCTCACAGTGACCCCACGAGGTGGCCGGGGGTGTGGGAACCCAGCTCTGGCTCTAAAGCCCTGTACTTCCTACCACACCATCTTGCCTCTAAAAAATGGAAATGACTAACGAGTGAAGGTTAATAAAAAATCACGGTACGCAAGCTAAGACAAAGGGGAAATAGGATTTGATATTCAAAATATAATTTATATATATTTGCATTTATTATATTTATTTATATAAATTTTTATTTGTTTATTATATGTTTATATATAAATTTATTTTTTATATAATATAATTTATATATAAATATATATATTTATTTACCTGTTGGATAAAGTTGGTCAGTTAGACCAGACCGGGGTCCCAAGAAGGTGGAGTGAACCAGGGTGCAGCTTTAAGAGGGAGGGATCTTCTTGAGGGAAAGCTTCTCAAGAAACAGGAGAAGATGGGGCGCCTGGGTGGCTCAGTCAGTTAAGTGTCCGCCATCAGCTCAGGTCATGATCCCAGGTTCCTGGGATCGAGCCCCAAGGCAGGCTCCCTGCTCAGTGGGGATCCTGCTTTTCCCTCTCCACACAGCTTGTGCTCTCTCTATCTCAGTCTCTCTCTCTCTCTCAAATAAATAAATACAGTCAAACTGTAAATCCTGAAATCCATATTGGTGACTCTCTTATGAAAAATATTTGAGAATTTCAGGGAACATTCAATGAAAATGCTCACAAATTTCTGGAGTTTTCTATATTCTTTTTTTTTTTTTTTTTTTTTTTGCCAGTATGTCTTACCTAAAAAAATGTGATCATCTCTTTGGAGTATTCTGTTCGGGGAGGCTGGACAGGATTAATTCCCGTCCTGGTGTTGCAGTGTAAACAGCTTTTTGCCTGTCTTTTGTCATTAATGATCATGCTGTAGATGTAGCCAGTGCATTGTAAGCCAATCTGTCAAGGCAAATAAACAATTCACCTTGTTAAAATTCCCTAAATCTTGCATTAATAAAACCAAACTAACCCCTTGAACACTCAAGAGATGTCTTCCTCCATACTGCAGTGATGGATGACATGTCTAAGGATCCTGGAAATTAAGTAGTTCAGGTCATTAAAAGTGTCCCACACTTGTTATTGATTTAATTTATTTTAAAAGGTGGGGGTGGAGATAAGAGTGTTACCCCCCCATTTTTTTTTTTTTTAATCTGAAAGCTGCCACTTGTACACATAATTAAAACTATTGCCTAGGTGAACAGCTCTGTTTTTGTTACAACATTAAGCTTTATTATTCAAATAGGTGTTGTGTCATTCTCGTAAACGATGTCAAGAAACATGGAGATAATCATTACAACTTACTTTATGGCAAAAATTCCCTGGAGCTTCATATATACAGTGATTCTTACAATCCTTGAGTTGTGGGCACTGAAATGATGACCTATGGGCACCCTCCAAATTTCCCCGAGTAGATGGAAATTCAGAAGGTCAGTGAAAATAGTAATGAAAGCATACCTCTAGGAAGAAGAGCTTTTTTCTATTTTATGAACTTTTTTTGTTTCCCTACCTTCTATTGCCTTTCCTTAAGCCTCAGTGGGTACAATCAGCTAGGTAAGGAATAGGAAGAGACTGAGACAGAGCTGGGTTTTCAGATGCCTCTTCTCCAGAAACTGAACAGCAGGAGGCTTGAGCGCTGGTGTAGCTTGGGGCTTAGCCTGTCTCCCTCATTCCATTCACATGTCCCGAACTGGGTAACTATTTTATAACTCCGCTAGAAATGGGACCACTCAGTATGTAAATTATGACAGAAAGCAATAGGCTATATAGAATCGCATATTTCAGAATATGCATAATTTGACCTTTTGTCCTTGGTGCCTCATGCATCACACTGCATAGCTGTGCCTGATCACGGTGTGGGTGACGCCTCAGCATCCCTTCTCATCGTTCTTTAAACAACACGTGGGAGGAGGACCACGGTAAATGATAGAAATGACCTTTGAAAATAATTCTCTTACTTTCAGAGACTATCATGCAATCTTTGATGTTTTTTTCCATGGTCTTCGTAAAAATAATAATTAAAAAAAAAGGTGGGGGAGAGTGGTGGGAGAGAGGGGCGACTGTTTAACCAGAACATACACTGTGGCTCTCTTTTTTGAAAACAGATACCCATGAAAATGCACTTGCACTTGCGTGACTCGGAGAGCCAAGAGCAGGCATGGTTATGCCATTGTCCCAGCTCTTTAACAGAGCTTTAACAGAGCTCCCTAAATGGAAGAACCGTATAGATTTTTTTTTTTTTAAGTATATATGCTGATTTACACTTAGGGGTAGAGTTATTACTGACCCTTTAAGTGGAGCTGTCCAAATGGCCATAAATGTCACTTGATCCAAATGCCAAAAGCGGTGATAGCCGAGGGATCTTGGCTAAATCTTCCAGTTAAAAAAGCCATGTGTAGTATTTTTTAAACAATGTGGTCTCTTGTAGACACACACACACACACATCCCAGACCACTTAATCACCCAGTAAGGAAAATTTGATGCACGTTTCTTAGCAGTATTATTGATGCTACCAGGTTTTTAAAATCCTCTCATCAGAATCTCCATGAAGGCAAGAATTCTGTCTACCTGGTGGCCAGCTGTCTTTCCTCCTAGTCAGCATCTGATGTGTGCTAGATGATCCATAAATGCTGATTGGGTGAGAGGATAGATAAAAAGAGTATTTGGGAACGCTGAAGAGTGTGGCTGTTTCCTGAATTCTTGGTGGGTGAGATGGAGACCACTCCCCACCAACCCTTACAGACTGTGATAATGATGCTGGTAAGAACTGAGATGGGTGGTCATGACTTTTGACATAGTTCATTTGATTATTGGCTGCTTAGTAAATTTCGCTTTCTAGATTCTCTTTTCTCCTTTCACAGGCTGTCATTTTGGAAAATGAAGAGCTTCCCAAACTGTTCCTCGATTTCCTAAACGTGCGACACTTGCCCTCGCTACCGAAGGCAGAGAGTTGTGGGTAAGAGGCGTTGTTCCCCTATCGGACATGTATCTGAAACTACTCTACAGTTGCTAGCTGGCCTAACCAATAACCACCGCCCCCAACCCTTGGGTGGTGCTGGAAGGGCCAGCCTGGTCACACCCGTTCTCTCTGCTGGGACAGCACTCACTCGCCCCCTGCCTGTGGTCAAAGGAATTCCTCTGTGGTCTTCACCGGTATATTGCGGCCAAATGGCAGGCTCCATTAAGGAATTGACTTATTAAAATATGGTGCTTCCTGGAGTGATGTTACATGGTGGGAATTTTGAATCTAGATAGCCTATGGAGGGACTAATATATTTTTTTGTGGGTACCCATGCATGTGCAGTTACATCATCTAAGAGCTGTGAATGACCTTGGAGATGATGTTAGCCAGCTCCCTTATTGTTGACCTGAGCAAGCTGAGACACAGGAATTAAGTATCTTTCCCCAAATCTCTCATCTTGTAGCTGGCAGAGCCCAGGCTTTCCCACGTGAGCTCTCTTCCCTGCTGTCTTTCTGCCTCTCCCACAGGACCTTCTCATGTGGGGCTGTAGATCCCAGTCCCTGTGTCCCAGGAACCAGACATTTGCTATCACCATCAGTTGGGAAGTGTTCTTCTAAAGAATGAACTCTGAAACAAGCCCCTTGCCCAGCTCTGGGCACCTGGCTCAGGTTGAGCTGGCCTCTGAAGGCCATCAGCATCACATATCAAATCCATTTACAGGGAAACACATCATTACAAAGACTCTGCAAACCCACGCAGGGGAGGGGGTTTTGTTCATCCTCCTGCCGGATGTGCTTCCCTGAAGGACGCACACTAACTACAAGATGGTCATGGGGACCACACCCACCGTCGGGTTAAAACCCGGCCGTCTGCGGGAGGAAAGGCTGCAGACCCTCAGCCCCCCAACCCGCCCCCCACCCTGGCAGTGTTGCTCAAGGCCACTTTCCACTCACCCCACAGTGAGAATTATATACTGAGCTCACCAAATAATAGGAATTGTCCGCGTGGCCTGTTCTGACTTGAAGTGCATTTGCTAGGACCTTGGGGAATGTTTTTAAGAAGAGATTTTAGGAATGACTGAGTGAAATCTTATCTCCATTATAGAAGCCCGAAAGTAAAACCATAGGGTTTGTAAGTGATCCTCAAGAAAACTGAAGTTCAAGATTATGGCGGTCTTAGATTCTTTAGAATGAGGCATCACAATCGCTTCTCAGCCTTTTGGCTAAGGTCAAGTGTAGAATGAGGTATCAGTCATGCTATGGCTTTGTCAAGACACCTCTCTTTTCCTAATGTTTCCCAATTTAGAGCTTTAAGACTACTGACTCTTTTTTCCTTGGTTTGCAACAACCTTTACCCAACTGACATGGTCTTCCTCTTCTTTTAAAAAAAAAATTCTAGATCTTTTGATGAGACGGAATCTGAAGAATCAAGGTAAGAACTAATACTAGTCAATCGAGAGTTACGTAAAACCAAAAACAGGACTGTGGTTTTGCTAAGTGGTGAATTACTGTGGCGTAAGTGTATCCCGTCACAATCTTCTTGATAATATTTGTTAGGCAGTTGATTTACAAATATGTGATAGAAAGTGAGAGAAGTAACCAGTTATATCGAACCCTACATTGTTTTATGCCAGTCCTAAGAATACTAGTTCATCAATAATTGTGCTCTGAGATGGTGCACTTTTCACCAGTGATTTGTCAAATAGATGGTATACCCGTTTCAGATTCCACAAAGAGATGTTGAGAAGGTGAACGCAGGGCTGGTTGGTTCCCTGTAATTCTGCTCACTATTATTCACCCACGCGGTGAGATACATAGACCTTGAGATGTCCCCGCACAGCAGTTTGATCCCCTCAAAGCTAGTTTGTAGTGTTTTCTGTTTACCGTCGTCCCCTGATGCTGACATGCCTGTTCTTGACCTTTCCAGCAAACTGTCCCACCAGCCGGTGCTGCTGTTCCTCAGGGATCCATTCGTCTTGCCTGCAGCGAGCGGTAATCAAACCTGTCATCTGCTAACAGCTCTTTACTGATCTGACCCTGCACCACATAAACCACGTTTTTAATACAGGTCTAACAGAGCGACATTGGTCCAGGGCTTAATAATCTGCCAATAAACCAGCGCTCTTGGTGTAGGAGACATTCAGAATTTTAATTGGGGCAGGCCTTTCCTCACGAAATGTGATTTTTCTTTCTACCTTACCAGGCAGTTTTGAATGAGAGTAATAAAGAGGAAAGATATTTATTGGTTTTTCTTTTATTTTTGTTTTTGTTTTTGGTGGTGTTATATTTTGGTCTCTGCTTGTTTTTATCCAGATGATAAGATTTGAGTCTAAGGCTCTGGTTCTTTTTTTTTTTTTTTTTTAATGCTTTTTCCCCAAAGCGGTGTATCTATATTACATGTATATCTTTACCTCTGTTTAGGTTATAGCATCTTAGATGGTCAGCTGTGTAGTTTTAGAAGTTATATACTTAAATATAATGAATTTATGCACACAGGTAATCAATATTTTATTTTTAAAGATTTTATTTATTTATTTGACAGACAGAGATCACAAGCAGGCAGAGAGTCAGGCAGAGAGAGAGAGGGGGAAGCAGGCTCCCCGCTGAGCAGAGAGCCCAATGTGGGCTCGATCCCAGAATCCTGGGATCATGACCTGAGCCGAAGGCAGAGGCTTTAACCCACTGAGCCACCCAGGTGCCCTTGTAATCAATATTTTAGCCTGGATCCTCTCTTTATGCCAAGAAATTTGAATTCTTCAGAGTTCCTCTCAAAATGTCCTGCTCTACACCTCTTCATGAGTGCCTTCTCAGATGTTACTCCTTTAATTTTTTAACAGCCTCATAAATTAGGCAAGGTGGGTATCCTCGTTGGCTAATAAGAGAGTTGGAACCCCAGGAGGTCCCCAACTTGCCTGGTGTCACATGGCTGATGGGCAGACCCCTTGGTGCTTAATTTCTTTACGTTGATTGAACATTCAGCCCTTATTCGTGGGAGTAACTAAATAGCAGAGCAACTCAATGGCAGTAGATAAATGATTTGTTGAAACCATTCCTACATTCCGACAGTAAAACCCTATCACCAGTAAGAGAGAGGGGACCAATCTGTGGCAACAGCGCGTGCACGTAGATCAGTGACTTAGTTGGCAGCGTGAAGAAGGCCGGCCAGGACCCAGCCCAGCTCCGTGGAGGGACCATTCCTAGCGCCCTGATCTGAGAGAGCTGACATTTCTTTGCAATATGGGAATATGTTCTCAGAGTATGTTCCCTGTACAGCCCTTTCCATAAGACATAATTGCCTTTCTCTAGCATTTGCTTCCCATGTTTTTTTTTTTTTTTTAAAAAAAAGCATATTCTATCAGTTGACTTTAGGTCAGCAAAATGTTGCCTCACGTAAGCTAGGCTAGATGAAATGGGTGATGTTCTGTAAAGCATTCTGTTTCTCTTCGGAGCATGGTTCTACCAGTGCCCTGTACGGTACAGTACTCTGTGCAGGTATTATGGATGGTCAGAAATTTCTGGCATTGGCCCGACGCTCCTGTGGAGGTGGGGAGCACGGGACGATCGCTGTGAAGCATAGTGGCCAGGGTGCTCAGGGGTCAAGGAAGGCGTTTTATGATCCTTGAGTCCACGTCATCCCGCTGACTGAGCTGCGTGTGCTGTGCCCCTGGTGGGCAACAAAGAACAGGAGGCACTTAGGGGAGAAGGAACTCAAGGGGCAGATATCTGGAGCTAGAAAGGGCAAAAGTAGGGATCGTTGGTAGAATGTTGACGTGGACGGAGGACTCGCGCAAATGGGGGATAGCTGTTCGGAGAGGACACAGGAATCACGGGTTTTATGGACAGGATGGCCCCAGGTCGGGGAGGGCCGGGCACCAGATCTGGTTTTGGTGCAGTTTGGCTACCCACCTTCCTGATCGGATTCCCGTTGTCTTACCAGCGTGACGCGGCTGATAGGCTCTTGTAGATCTTAAGCATTCAATCGAGAGGTCAGTTTTACTGGCATCGCATTTCTGGGTTATTTAGGCCTCTTAACAAAACGTGGGGCTACTCTTCCAGAGGATTCTGATTGTGGAAGTACCATCGCAGGTGAACTGACAGACGCTATCCTCCTATAAAATGTTAATAATCAGTCTTCTCTGAACATAGGCTCTTTGGCCTGAGTTTTAATTTCTCAGGGGAATTCAGAACAGCTCTCGCGATGGTCCCCAGCATCATCTCTGGCATGGCTACACTCCGGATATTTTTCCATCAGCTTTCATCAGACCTCCCGTCATCTTTGGCCACTGTTGACCGCTCTCTCCCCTCTCCTACTTTTCTGCCCATCCTGGGCAGCCTACTGGTGGGCTATCATAGACCCTCTTGTCTTCTCCTTGGCTTTCTTTCAGATCAACTCCTTGCTTGTGGTCTTGATGGCCTTGTGTGTGTAGCTGGGACACCGTCTTGGGTTTCCAGCCCCACTTTCTCTCTGAGTTTAACTCTACCAGGCTCTCACGGCCCTTCTAAGAGGACTCCCTCCTGCACTCTGCCGACTTCTTTCTGGGTCTCATAGATGTGCACTCCATAGGTCTCATAGGGTCTCATCTCATAGGTGTGCACTCCATTCCCCCTCAGGGCACTGCTATTTCCCCCACCACCTCCTTGAGCCCTCTTCTCGTCCCCACATGGGCACTGCCTCCGCACCTTCCAAGAGCAGCTTGAGAGAGCCTTTGCCCGCTCTGCTCTCAGGGGGCTCTCAGGAGTCCCCCCGCCCCAATCCCATTGCCTTTTTTTTTAAAGGTCCACGTAAGTGTTTACCAGCATAAATGAGAACCAACAAAAGACGACAAGTAAATCTTTCCTAAATCACATTCCTTGTCATCCCCTCTCAATGGGAAACAAAGGCCAGGGCAGTTTTCAAGTAACAGCGGACACGGAATTAAAATCATACATATGACAAAACCAAAATCCAAAGTGTAGAATGGAGTGGAACAGATGAGGGAGAAAATGACCTCTGATAATCTGCTCGTTGGCCCCCAGTCAGTGGACCTTGTCATAAAACACCTCTGTTCCATTCATGTGGATCATTTCCTTCCTTTACTGTCATGATGACCCACACGGTTCCCTTATTCTCTCTCTGTCATGTTCACCTTCTGAATCTCCGGCCTCTACTAGTTGCTCGGCACTTGCTGGACCGTAAACACAGCACCTTTGCCAGCCATCTTCCCTCTGCTGGGAATGCCCCTCGCCCGGACACCCTCGCGCATGGCCACCGCACCCTGCTTCCCCTGGTATCTGCCCGCAGAGGTCTTTCCTCACCTTCCCGTCTCCTCACCCTCAAGCCTCGTGCCCTGCTTCAGTTTTCCCCTTTATTTATCCTTCTGAAGACTTATTTCTTTATTTGGGAGACAGAGGGAAAGAGAGCAGGCTCAAGCAGGGGGAGGGGCAGAGAGAGAATCTCAAGCAGAGTCTGTGCAGAGCGTAGACCCTGACGCAGGGCTTCATGTCACGACCTCAGGATGGCGACCTGAGCCGACATCAAGAGTCGGACGCTTAACCGCCTGAGCCACCCTGGCACCCCTCCCCTTGAGCTTAAACCACTGCTTGACCTATTCAGGTGGTATAGCATTACTCAGAGTAATTAATGGTATTTTCCCCCTTTTCGTCCTTTTCCCCCAAACTTACTTAAATTCCTTTAAGCTGAACATGCTGATGATGTCATCACACTAACCTTCAAACAAACTGTTATGTTTTGGCTGGCAGAGAATAAATACCCACACGTCGACGTGTTCTCTTTGGGCATCTAATTGAAAATTGATCAATATCTCCACTGACAGCTCTTGGTTTCAGTACACTTCTGTGGGGGAGGAATTCTTTTAAAATTAAAATGAACTTCGGAAAATCATTGCTCTTAATTGGGTTGAAAAAAATATATAGGTTTAAGTCCTGCTACAGATTATTAAAGATACGTTGTATGGAAAATTATGTTGTTTCATGCTGGATTAAAGCAAACATTAAGAAATCGAGCGTCATCACCCAGAAGTCATTGAGCTGCTTGTGTACCGAAGATATGTTTTAGGCATATCTTGTGGGTGTGTTCATTTGCTTGTCTCCCTCCTAGCGTGGAAATTCCACGGTATGCCCATGGTATGGGCAGGGACTATTACTTACTTCTCTTCCCAGTGATTAGACCGTACTTGGTACGTGACGGTAGCAAGTACTAACCATGTGCCCAGCACAGGTTCAAGTGCTTTGCTTCACCCTCCAATTTGTACAACAACCTTTCAGGCAGGTACTGTTAGGAAACTTCCCTTTACTCCTCACAGGGAACCCACCACCACTTTGGACTTGTCCCCATGGATTCTGAGTGGCAACCAGAGCCATCTTTGCCAAACAGGATTCAATTCTGTGTCACTTTGCTTAAAATCCTGGTGGGGGTGGGGGGGGCTGGTGGTTCTCCCTGCTTTTCAGACAAAGCCAGAATTTCTGGGTTTGCATGCCCTCAGGCTTCCTCCCTCACTCTCTTATCAACACTAACCTCCATTCCAGTCTTTGAACTTTCCTGGCTCCCTCCTCCCTCAGACTGGCCACCTGGCTTGCTTCCCCTGAGAAACTTTCTGCCCTCCCTTTATACATGGCTTTATGTAGTAGGTACTGTACAGAGTTTGGGTTCCTAAGTGAGTGTCCTAGTTTCTGTCTGCAAGTATTGGACCACCTAATTTCCTTGCATAATAACGATATTTATTGAAAGTGGTGGGCTTTCATGTAAATCCTGGATAGACTTAATTACCTGCAGATTGAAGTTGAGAAATTGAACCTCTGGGTCATGTGATGGTTGGGGGTCCCCCGTGCAAAGTATCCGTTCGTATTTTTCCTGACGGGATGGCTTTCTTCAGAAGTGTGCCCTTTTCAGTTAGGAAGACCACCCTCGTTCCTCCTGCTCCCTGGACGCGTGCGCCACGGAATGACCATCCTCAGGACAGCTTGGACTGAACGCTGCTGTAAACCACAGTGGAAAAACTGCAGCCAAGTATTCCCAGTAGGAATCTTGGAATTCCTTCAAGTATATTGAGATTTTGTTAGAAATTGAATTGCCAGTGTAATCCATCTTCCTTGTGAGAAAACATTCAGATAAAGAGCTGGGGCCTAGCAGCATTAACCATGAGAACATCCCCTAAATCAATAAGCTACAAATCTGGCCGTGCATTCCTGCAGAGCCTGGTCGCGCACCCAAGCGGCTTTCGGCCGCGGCGACATGACAGATAGCGTGTCCTCAGCGAGAGCAGGCTGCAGGGTGACTCGGGTCCCCGAGTTGCTGGGGGCCTCGGCTTGTACTGGTCTGCAGAATGCGGTCGTTGCGTTTTACTGCTGTGCCTAAGAAAAGCTGTTTTCCTTTTTTTTTTTTTTTTTTTCAGATTTTCCAAATGTGGTTATTGAAGGGGTCCTCCATGGGGTATTTTACCCCCATCTACAGCCCAGGTAGAAATCCTCCATGGCTAGAAGAAGCTGAAGTGGGTTTCACAGAAATCGGTATCTGCCAAATTAACCTAAACTCTACGACATAACAGCTCTAGCTCACAGTCAAATTCACAGCCCCAGCTTAAGGCAGGGCAGGGACATTTCCATTAGAATGGTGCTTTTAAAAATAGAACCTGAACCTGGGCGGTGCTGAGGTTAAGGCCAAGTGTTTGAGACATAGAAGGTAACTGCCAGTTTCGAAACTGTAGGCAATGGCGGGGAGGGGCAAGTGTAACAAAACAGAAGTTACTCTCTGCTTTAGTTGCACTGTTTGCTGATTGAACATCTCATCGGGAAGCATGGCTGAGGCCGATCTGTTTTGGTAGCTTTTTTTGTTGTTGTTCAGATTTTTAGGACGCTGGTCTTTTCATCATGAGATTTCTCTCTGTCAGTGATAGGTACATTCCATGGGAGGGTCACAGAAACAGCCTGTGCTCGGTGTGAGGACGGAACTAAACTGGAAATTAAACTAAGCTGATGATGTTAGGGCATTTTTAAGACTCTTGTCATTGCGATTCACACGGCAGTGGAGTTGCTTCCTACCTGGGGCTTAGCTCTAGTGTCAGGACCTAAAATGAAATGGAACGTGGAGAGCGCCTCCTTGACAGCCGTTTCAAAAGACAGCATATTGGAAATCTGCGCATCCAACACAACCAGGTTTTCCTCCGGTGTTGGAAGAAAGGACAGTTTCTTCCGTTGAAGACCATTTGACGTTGTCAGTGCTCGTTTAGGGCCATGTTGCATAGAACCACATACCTTTCAACACTAGAATCAGTCACCCTGCGCCCTCCAGGATGCTTGTCTTCTGAGAGACCGACGTGAACTGACTTTACCTGAGGAGACGCCACAGTGGTAGCGCTTGGTTTCCTCAAGGTTCTTCCACCCTCATCAGGGTTTACTCTTTCATTCAACTGGTGAGATTTTCATGGGATTCATTGTTATTTTCCGTATTGTTTCCTTTTCGCTGACCTCCTATATGGAATTGATGTAAGTTCAACGAATGAGCTGACCCCACTGTACATCTCACTGACATTCATATTTTCAGTAGTAAAGGGCAAAAGCATATATACAGACTTTATGTATGTGCTGTATGGGGGCATTTCATCGAAAACTGATTAATAGCTAGCCTATTTATGGTTATTCATTTTACTAAGCATCTGTGTGGGAGAAAAATATTTGGGTTCAAAATGAATAACTAAATCATGGTTTTTGGTTAGGATCTAAATATACAGGTTTCAAGCCTGCTGCAGACTTTGAGAGATAACGTTTATGATAGATGTGTTACTTCATGCTAGAAACAGGCAAGGACTCTGTAATCTAGTGTCATGAACCAAAAATAACTGAATACTCATGTGTGGGAGATATTTTTTAAATGTTTTGTTGTTAGCTATTTTGAGTTAAATAAAAACAAAGAACAAGAAGTGTTTGAATTTGTCTTCTAGGATTTTATTGGAAACACAAATTATGTCTTGTCTTTTTATACACACACACACACACACACACACAACTTCTCACATACTCATAGGAGCTTATTTCTAATCTAAGTATTAAGTTACCTCATCTTTAAGCCAATAGGTACTCATTCAATAGGCGATGACTTACAAAGAGGGCAGGATTTTTTAAAAGATTTTATTTATGTATTTGACAGAGAGGGAGAGAGAGAGCACAAACAGGGAGAGCAGCAGGCACAGGGAGAAGCAGGCTCCCCGCTGAGCAGGGAGCCCGACGAGGGACTTGATCCCAGGACCCAGAGATCATGACCTGAGCTCAAGGCAGATGCTTTACAAACAACTGAGGGACCCAGGCACCCCAGGAATTTTTTTAAATATAAAAACCAAGCATTTCTGGTGGCACGCTGCTCAGGAAATCTCTTCTGAGGATTTTTTTTTTAACGATGACTTTTATTTATTATTTAATAATTTTTAATATGTAATTTCGTATTCCATTTCAATTCTATTATAGGAAATAGAGGCCACAGTAGGTATTTCAAGCAGAATAGACTTATAAGAAACTGGATGCTTGTAGAATCTTTTGGAAGGATGAGGAGAGTGAACTCCTAGGAAGTAATTCAGGAGTGACTTCTGGAATCCTCCAGCAACATCTGGTACTCTACCTGCCAGGAGAGCTACAGCTTCTGCCTTAAGCAGGAATTCAGGGAGGCTGAATTCAGGACGAATTAGGAGGCTGCTCCTGGAGCTGCTGAGGTAAAGAAAAAAAAGCACCACTGCACCCATGATCCAGCTACCAACAAGTTCAGGAATTCAGGAAGTCACTGGGACCGCCTTAAATACCTCATAGCAGTACCCAGGAAGCTGGGGCCTGGGCCCGGAACAGTGTCCTGCTGATTCCACCTACACCACCATTGCCTCTGAACCCCCATGGCCTTGCTTGCCCACAACTACAGCCCTACGCAGTGGGAAGATGGTGTTCACCTACTTCCATCTTCTACACTTATCTCATGAACACACGTCCATTAGAATCTTGTATCAATGCCCAGCTTCAAGGGAGTCTGGAAGGGGCTGGAACTTCCTGGTCGGTGAAGTTCGGGAATGGACATTGGAAAGACGACGGACTATATTTCCACAGTTGAACATGTAGTAGCATATGAAAGGATCTATAGAAAAGGAAAATCTCCCACCCTGTCTCCTGTATTCCCACTCCCACTCCTGCCACAAGCAGCCGCTGTGCTTAGTTTAGGTGTGTGTTTGCAGAGAGAGTTCATCCACATGTAAACAAATAATGGACATTTAGTGTACATGTTCCAACCCCTTCCCCCCGCCCTTTTTTAATAGAACGTGGATTTTCCAAAGCAAGGATTCATAGACAATAGAGCAGTAAAGGGTAAAGGGACATAAACAGAATAAAAAGAAGGAAAAGAAACCCCACTGCCACTGGAGGCAGGATGTGGGGACAGCATATCTGCTGTGTTCCTCCTTAGTGCATTTGGTGGTGTGCCTGGGCTTGGTCTCCGATTCCCCCAGGGCTTCATGCAGAGCCCCTCTCTGGCCTCGCCTCCACCACACGGCCATTTCCGGACCAGCACCCCTGGTGTCCTTTCTCCCCCACCCCAATGTTTCAAACCACCGGCCATCTCTACAACCCGGATCATGCTGACCACATCCCGACCTGGTACGTCCGCGGTCTCATTTCACTTCGAAAAGCATAGAAATCTCATGATCACAGTTGAGAAAGAACAAATGGCTTTCATCTCCTTTGTAATGGTAATGGTAATGGTAATGTAATGGTAATGGTAATGGTAATGTAATGGTAATGTAATGGTAATGGTAATGTAATGGTAATGGTAATGGCCACACAACGTGTTTGGCCGAGGATACCGGATGCCGGCACAGCCATTAGGGAGGCAACTCTCAAAAGCAGCCAATGACAAGTGTCGACGAGGATGCGGACGCCGTGAAACCCTCCTTGCTGGCGACGGTGTAAAATGGTGCGTCCTCTGCAGAACAGTCTAGCAGTTCTTCCAAAGATGACCCTGTGAGCCAGCAGGTCCCCCTTCTGGGTATATACCCGAAGGGAGCCAAGTCAAGGGACTTGAACAGATTATTTTGTGCACCCCAGGTCTTAGCATCGTTCACGAACACCAACAGGTGGAAACAACACAAGTGTCCATCCGTAGATGAATGGCCAAACAGAATGTGGTCTGTGCACGGAATAGGATGTTATTCAGTGCTCAAAAGGAAGGAAGTTCTCACACATGCTATAGATTGGGTGAAAGTGAAAGGACCACTCCTGTGTGATTCTACTACTATGAGATACCTACAATAGTCCAGCTCCTAGAGACAGAAAGTAGAACAGTGGTTGTCAGTGGCTGGAGGAAGGGGAAATGAGGAATCAATGTGTATTGGGTTTCAGCAGGGGAAGATGAGAAGGTTCTGGAGATGGGGGGATGGTGATACTTGGTTGATAGTGTGACTGTACTTTACGCCACTGAACTATACTCCTTGTAACAGGTAAAATGGTAAATGTCATGTCATGTATGTTTACCAAAAAGTTTTTCAAGTTTTATTTTTTAAAGGATTTTAAGTGAGTACAGATGTAATGCACTAACCAACTAATGATATCTGCTGGGGAGCAGGAGGGATTTGGGCACACAACCTCGGTGCCATGCTCCTCTCCCCGACAGCCTCTCAAACAGCAGTTCTCCCTCGGGGCCACATCCGCATCGGGATCGCCAGGTCTCTGAATCACTAAATCTGGACTGCGTAGGGGCCTTTCTTTGGGTACTTCAAAAAACTGCCAAGTTGATGCTGATAACCCCTGTTGGAGGGATGTGAGGAGGTAAGATGCTTTATGAACTACTCTTCTTTCATGGCTACTGACTTTCCTACCTCCTGCAGGACCCACTGTGAAGAGAACATCCCTCTGACTCCTCCAGGAGGCCACAGGGAGGTAGGTGCTCCTCACAGTCCTTCAGGGCGTGTAACACACGTACCGCAAACTGGGCGACTTGTGAACGGCCTGATCCATTTCTCATGATTCTGGAGACTGGGAAGTCCAAGCTAGGGCCCAGGCACATTGGGGATCTGGTGTGGGGTGATCTTTCCTGTGTCCTCACCTGGTGGGAAAGGGGTGAGGAATTCTCTGGAGCCTCTTAGAAAGGCACCCATCCCTTATTATCTCCTAAAGGTCCTACCTCCGAACACCACCACAGTGAGGATTAGGTTTCAACGTACGAATTTGGGGCTGGTGGGAGGGACACCGACATTCAGACAGCAGGACTCTGCAGAAGCAGCAAGAGCGACAGAGCCCTGTGAGTCGTGGTCTCATTGATGCCCTTGTTGAACATATATTCAGTTCCTCCTCCATACTTCCAAGCTCCCTCACCAGATCAAGGCACTGTGTCAGGCATCTAAAGAACAGAGACAGAATCATTGCTTTTTTGGAATTTGGGGCCATTTACTAGAGAGTGTCTTTCCGTTTAATTGAATTGGTTATGAAGTTCAGGGAGTAAGGCTCTCCTCTCTAGCCTCTCTATAAACACAACTTTGAAGCCGTCCTTTTCATCCGGGCTTTGTTGTGGTTTTCATCCTTGATGATAATTACAGATTTTGAATTCCACAGTGGAAACCCAGGGAAGAAGCAGACACTAACTCAGAACTGATATTTCTGCAACATTTATGTTTCCTGCCCCGGGAGCATGTGTAGTGAAAGTCTGAGCTCTGGTGAGGATGAAGAGACATTCATTTTCATGTGAGGGAGAGCAGGGTACATTGAAATGGTAAACCTCTGAAGTCCCTAGAATTAGGTAGAGAAGAATCTGGTTTTATATCCTAAGAGTAGAACTGTAAGTCTGACCTCTAGAATGTGAACCGTTTTCTGTCTTCAGGACTCTCCGGTCATCAGTCAGAGAGACCGCAACAGTGTCTCCAGCTTTGACACTCTATTTGGATACTCCTGTGTGCTGAGCTCCTACTGACTGCTACATAGTGTTGGATAGGGTTTTTTTCAGACCTCATCCCAGCATAACTTCACAAACTTTTTATGAGCTTTCATTGAAAAAGAAAGTAAAGTTCAGAGGGATTGGTAAGTAGCTAATACGTCTGAGTGCCAGTTTGGGTGCCGAGAGATACTAGGCTAAATTCTTTCCATAGATTATCCCAGTGAAGACTCACGACATCTTTATGAGGTCTGTATTCTTACCATTCCACTTTTACAGAGAGAAATGAAAGCTAGAAAGACAAAAGACCTTGGCCAAGGCTACCAGTTAATAAAGGAGATCAGATTTTGAAACTTTTATCCCCCGAATTTAGGCTCATGCACTCCCCCATCAGTTTCCCAGTACAATGGTTCCTATATATGTGCATATTTGAGCCACGCGTGAGTACTCCAGCAGGAAAGAGCCGGGCGTATAGCGGTTGCTGGTCTTTCTATAGGACATTGCAAATTACCGGGAGCTTTCCCCTTTCATGTGATGAAACCGGGCTCTGTGTGCCCCGCTGCAGCCTCCTCCCGCATCTCCCTGCATCCACCGTCACTGCAGGCTGATCGGCACACCAGAGCCGCAGGTGTCTTTTTCAAGTGTCCATCAGATCATGTCACCTGCTCCCGATCTTCCAGGAGCTTCCATTCCCATGTAAAGCTGAAATTCCCGCCACCCTCTCCAAGTTCCTCCTGCAGATATGCATCCAATGGTAACACTGGCGTTTCCGTCCCCAGGACTTGCCAACCCTGGTCCTTCCTCAGGACCTGCTGGTCTCTGGCTGAAATAGCCATTCTCCCTTGGGAAGATGGTCATTCTCAAACCCGCTAGGTCTCCGCTTGTACCTCCTCTCCACAAAGAACCCCTCTTTGGTCACGCCAGTCTGCACCATGATTTTTAAACATCCCTAGCACTGAAGTAGAGTTGACACACACTAGTTTCCAGTGTGCAACATGATTGAACAATTCTGTACATTACCCAGTCCTCACCATA